TTATTTTCAATTTTTTTGACAAATATTCGCAGTCCCAAATTTTTGGGGAGAAAACCTTCTGGGAGTATTGCCTTGATACATACTGGATAGAGCACTATGCTTGCCCAAAATTTTAAGTTGTCAAGTGATGGGCACGTCTTTATACGTCAAGCCATTTATTGTTTGTTATTTTCATCATGTATTCATGTGGGGTAACACTTGTATGTGCACATTAACTATCTCTCCTTCTATGTTTGATCTCTGAGCATCTCAACTCCATCGTTCCTCTCCCTTGTGTAACCCCACTTCCATACTATCCACTGCTCTGAGAGTATCACATCCACTCTTCTGCACTATCCACTATCTTACTGAGAGTGCCAGATCAGACTACCTGAGTCGAGCCATTGGCATCAATTGGTCTTTAAGTGGTCTCCAAGGTATATATGAGCTGTGTTCTTATGCTTCTGTGAGCTCAAAGTTGGATTTTTCTTTCCAACAGGAAGTCACAGGTTTGCTGCACAAACTAACGATCTAAGACTGTTGTAACATGGGAAAGGAACATGGATGAGGTTCTTGCTAGAGGGTATATCCTGAAAGGAACAATTGTCTCTTGTGCTTTGGCATTTTCTTTTTCTTCTGAAATATCAATTTGTTAGAAACAGTTGTAACTGCAATTTCTCCTTTTATTCCTCTGAATCATGATGGAGATGCCCAAGTGTTCATGATTTTTTGCACAAGCAATAAGCATTTATTTTATCTTATCAATATTGCTTTCTGGTTTGATGTTACTAGCTAAACTGTATCTGTGGATGTGTTCGCAGATTTTATGTGCTTATGCATATGTATGAAATGAGTGCTTACGGTCACAATGAGTGGAAAGAACTGAAATGAGGGAATCGATGTCATTGATAAATTATATATTTTGATTCATTTGTTTAAATGTAATTTACAATACTTATCTCAGCTGTATCATATGAAGGGCTAGTCCTCTAATAAATCGAAGTATTTTCATTTTCGATTTCCAGCTATTAGGTATGGAGCAGAAGGTCCAGTCAGCCAAGAAGCGTGAGTTAATGTATTGGTATTTAGCTTCACGTGGTGTCCCGAAGAGCCTGCATTGCCTTTGCCTGAAACTGGCAGAAGAGTATGCTGTAAATGCAATAGCCCGCTCTCGTTTACCTTCACCTGAACATGTTTCTCGTCTCGCTGACACATCCTTTTACCATGTTGTGCTTCTGACCGATAATGTCCTGGCTGCCTCTGTTGTTATCTCTTCTACAGTTGAAAATGCGGCAAATCCTGAAAAATTGGTGTTTCACATAGTAACGGACAAGAAAACTTACACCCCAATGCATGCATGGTTTGCAATAAATTCTGTCGAATCAGCAGCAGTGGAAGTCAAGGGATTACATCAATATGATTGGTCTCAGGAGGTGAATGTCGGAGTTAAGCAAATGTTGGAAATTCATCGCTTGATTTGGAGTCATTACTACAACAATTTGGAAGAAGAAGACTTTGAATATGAAGGAGAGCATAAAAATTGTTTGGAGGCTCTAAGCCCTAGCTGCCTCTCCCTTATGAATCATCTTCGCATTTATATCCCTGAAGTAATTACTCTAAAGTTTGCATTGAATTTTCTGATAAGTGTTATTTTGAACCTTAAATTTCAGTGGGCATTAATATGTTCTAACTTCCATGGGTTACACAGCTGTTTCCAGATCTCAACAAGATAGTATTCTTGGATGATGATGTTGTAGTACAACATGACATATCATCTTTGTGGACATTGGATCTCAGTGGGAAAGTTGTTGGTGCGGTTGTTGACTCATGGTGTGGAGACAACTGTTGTCCAGGAAGGAAATACAAGGATTACTTGAATTTCTCACAACCAATAATTTCATCCAACCTAGATCAAGATCGTTGTGCATGGCTTTCTGGAATGAATATCTTCGATCTTGAAGCATGGAGGAGGACCAACATCACAACATCTTATCATAAATGGTTGAAACTTGTAAGTAAATTGTCTGCAACTGATTCTGCTATTTTGGCAATTAATGTTGCTTTAATGTCCATTTAATTTGCAACCATCACCTAATGATGTGGATCAGGAAAAGTATTAGTTTCTATTGGTGTTCATTTGATTGTGGAACTACTAAAAGCTTAAAATTAAGCAAAAGAAAACTGTAGGTATTGTTTAGTTTTGGTATTTATATGCTTCAATGAGTAATGATATTTACTTATCCATTTTGAGACCTGCCGCATGGCAATGTGCCATGAAATGTTCACAAGAAAGCATAGGACATTTTTCATAGTGCGTAGTACAAGGCTCATGATACTCTTGGACTCTTAGTTTTTTGTGTTTTAGTTTATTTGCAGAACATTTGTCTCCTTGACAAACCCTATATTTAAACACTATCTTATGTAGCTGTGAGTCTCCTGAGGCCAGCTAATAAAAATTGAAAATCTATTTTTACTCTTTTTTTTTTGTCTTTCATTGCTTTATAGTGATCTTAATTATAAAATTAATTCCTTTTTGTTACTGCAATCCTATATTTTATCATTTTACAGAGTCTCAATTCTGGGTTGACGCTATGGCAACCGGGTGTGCTTCCACCAGCCTTACTTGCTTTTGAGGGTCAGGTGCATCCTATTGATCCTTTATGGCATGTGGCTGGGTTAGGCTATCGATCCCCGTCTGCTCACGGAGAGATATTGGAGGCTGCTGCTGTTTTGCATTTTACTGGCCCTGCAAAGCCATGGCTTGAGATTGGGTCTCCAGAGGTACGAAGACTTTGGAATAGACATGTAAATTTCTCAAACAGCTTTATTAGGAAATGTAGAATTTTGGGGTAGGAGGACGAAGTTCTCTCACATCGACACACTCATTCGGGAACCAAACCAGCGGTAACGGTATGGAAGCAGAGGGAAGAAGGTTTTGGCTTCAGTCTCTGCCCATACAGTGCATGGTACGTTGGTAACTTTCATGTCTATAATAGAAAATAGAGGAAGCTACTTCTTCATATACGTAAGGTCGTCAACTTTAAGGATGTATAATTGATTATATCAATGTAGCTTTTCAACAACATTGTAAATTACTTTAGTCAGTTAATTGAAATTACTTTATCTCATTAGTGAAACTCATTTATTATGTTCTTATTCCTGTCTCATATCATGTTATTTCTTTATTTGATCAACAAAGGGTATTCTTTTTACCATAGAGCAGGGATGTTTATCTCCTCATTGAATATATTGAAGCAGTAAAAAAAAAAAAATTTTATCAATTTTTTTTGGAATGTAAACCAATTAAATTAGAAGTATGAGAATTAAATATAACAAAGATATTTTCATCTATATATCTTCAATTGGTATTAGGTTAAATGCACTTTTAGAATTCAACATGGTATCTCCGTACACATAAAGAAGAGTATTGAAATGATAAAAAAAAAAAATTCACATACGTTAAATTGGGGGTATTTTAACAACTTAAATATAATAAAAGCTTCTCCATTTATCACATTGGTTAAATGAGAGATATTTTGTAAACTTAAATATAATAAAGGTCTTTTCACTTGTTATAAATTGATTTTAGAATAGAAGCAATTTTAAAAATTTAACGGTATATATTATAGTCGAAGAGTTTTGCATCAATGAGCCACGCTTGGTAGGAAACAGTAATATATATATCTTCTTTTTTTGAAATACTAAAAAATCTTTGTACTTTTTCAAATTTCTCAAATAATTTTATATTCTTCATTTGCATCCAATTTTACCTCAAAGTACTAGTATTTAGTTATATTTAATTGAGTTCTTTTTTTATATAAAAACTTGATATCTTTGTTATATTAGCATTTGCGTAGACATTATCTTTATTATGTCAATATTTACATGATATTATGTTATAAAATAAAAACTTTGTAAATGCAGATATTATATGTCAAGTAAATTAGTATTATATATAATGTAAGTCTCAAGTTAATATAAAGTTTTATATTTTTTCATGTGAATGTTGACATGGCAACAATAATGATCCCAAATGATGGTGTGAAAAAATTAATTCACTTTTAGCAGTTTTCATCTAAATTAAGTTTTTAATCAAACAAAAAAAATATTTTAAGAACTTGATCGAGTTTAATAAAAAAAAGAATTTATTTGAGAAAGCAAAGGTCAGTATTCTTTTCTTTTGACTAATTGGGTTGGATTTAAGAGTCTGGTAACCGCATCCACTACCACAGCAGCAGATTTGCAACATACAGACACCATTGGCAGCAAGCACAGAATTTGAAAATTTTGGGTAAAAATAGTGTTATTACACTCTAAATTCCCTTTGATGTCTCCCTTCCATGTTATTATAAGTGGCGTTAAAGCAATCAAAGTCTACTTTATGCATGCGAGATTTGATTGATTGTAGAAATGGTTAATTCGAGTCAAAGAAAGTGAATGCTGAATTGGGTGAGGATGTAGAGTTAGAACACTAACTATATCTCATTATTCTCCTTTCTCCTACCCTCTTGCAGGAAGAACAATTGCCAATGCATACCCGCAACATCGTTCTTTTTCGTTTCTGATCAAATTTTGCTCCCTAAAACAAATAAATGTGTATAAATTAGAAAAGGGTTGTTCTCATAATCTCTAGTTGACTCTTTTTAGTAGTTGAATATCTGAGACTTTGATGAAACATAAACATAAAATGAGGACCATATCATGAGTCATGTCAACTGCGTATCCATAAATGTCATGAATGAATCTGTTAGAGATGTGATTACATCAGGATATAATACTTCCACAAGTATTTTTGTTACACAAATATACACATTCAGAGCGGGGAACAATATGATATTGGTTCCTCTTGACCTGTGATTGATTTATATTTGCTGTTTCAGAGAGGTGCTTTGCTATATATATATATATATATATATATATATATATATCCAAGCTGAACAAGTCTATACCAAATCGAATAACTAATCATGTCACAGCATTCAATCTAGCGTTTGCGTAGAACAAATAAGCGAAGGAGAAGATAAGGGATGAAAAATCAGCCATGTTATCTAGTGTCTGGGAGCATAATACAAGAATAATCCTTTCCGCAATAACACAGTTAAAAAGGGAGTCCAGTACTGATGATAACCGAAGTTCCTTAGTTTCATGATAACAACTAGTTTTCAACTATTTATAAACTATACATACGTCCAAGCTTATATGCTTAAGCAGAGATAAAGTCGGTAGAACGTGGCCGCCTACTTGTGTGTCAACTGCAACCAAAAAATCCCAAAAAAAAATATGAATCAGAATATGTTCCTATTCATATGTATTGTAGTTATGAATAAGGGAATGATCAAATAGCAATTTTTATTCAATGCGTGCTGTCATGCAGAATCAAATTACCTATTATGAAACACAACAAATTGCAAGACATGAGGCAATAACCTTGCACATTAGACTGTTTAATGCTTCAAAGTTAATGGTTGAATAGCATACTATGCATGGTATGTATGGTTCCAGACTTCCGCCAATGCTACATTTTTAGTTTGCACCATATCAATTCTTCTATGGCTACATACACATGTTAATGGTCTTCCATTCAATTCACTGTTCTTTCCTTAACACTTTCTCGATAACTTCTGCCAGTATGTCCTTCTGTTTCGTAGTAATTAAGCAAATGCATATTTGATACGCCAAATGTAATATTGGTTAATGGTGGTAGAGTCTAACATTTAATTGTAGATGGAAGAGAGAACCTTATACAAGTTGGAGAGCAGTTTGGTCTTGGCTGGAGTAATCATTACTGGGTTCCAGGAGGTTTACGGGGAGAAAGTTCCGATTATAGGGTTGTGAAGTCACAGTCTGGAAGACAGACCCTTGTATCAGGTTCGATTGTTGTTGCTGCTGTTGTTGCGCTCTTTCATTTTCAGCTATCTGCATCATCCGACAGTTACTGGTATGATTACATCTAAATCCCTCCATTTACGACTGAAAGAGGGCAAGAGAGAGAGTATACCTTTGCTCGCAGGTACATGTTATCATTCTGCAGCTCAACTTCCTACAAAATGTGCCCTTACAATTGTTAATAAGAAGAGGACTTTGATTTAACCATGAGCGTTTGATCCATGCATCACAAGCAAAATAGAGTTCAATGTACTAGCGAATCTGGGTCTCGCAAGGACGTTCAAGTCCATTTTAGGACTCAGAGAACCTACTCTTTCAATATATGCTTAATTGTTTGTTACCACTAATACAGTAACTCAAAGCCTAATCTGCATAGAGGTTGAACATGGAGAAGCCAAGCCATGAACATGTCAAGTTCGCTCCAAAGCTGTGAGCCATTATAACTGGTTAAAGTAGTACGGATTACCTAGGAGTTGCAGGATCATCTACAAGACCAACCAGAAAGACTTAGCCACTTGTCATTTTTGTTTTTGCTCAGCCAAAATAAAATTTCATTAAAAACACTGAAACTACAGTGTGTGAGCCTAAAGACTCACTGGTACAAGCATCTGCATGCAAGCACTTGTCATGTTAGAATTGATTTAAGTTGCAGGCATGTACTGCAGTCAACCCTATCAAGAGTTTCAAGGTTAATTTTGGCATAAATTGAGATTCACAGTAACTGCCTTTAAAGTTTTTCCTTATGGATCGTAACTGTCCATGCAGAAGTTGGCCCTGTATTTACAACTAGTTAACACTATTTGAAAGGATTCATACTTTGTAAAATACTATTTGATAATATTCGTCTCTTTTTATAGTTTTGCTTTGGTAAAAGATTCTGAAAGATAACAATCTAATATGTCAGAAGGTTGGTGTTTGATATTCCTAAACCTTCTGAGTTTGTAGAGGTTTGAGTAACTTGCAAGCCACTATAAGGGCGTTATCATCCTGCTTTGACAGAAGTGATCAAATGAGCACAACAAAAACTGCCTCAAATTACTTGTTTTCATCAATCAATAACTGAGTTTGTTTCATTATTCATATCAATTATCATATAGTATCTTCAAGAGTTAAACAAGAATATATATAACAATAAAAATGATGATAAATAAAGTAGGGATGAAAATTTACCCTCTTTTGCATGAACTCGATTTCTGCAAATAGTAATTCGTTCTGGTAGAGATTAAGAATGTCAGTGAATAAGGAAATTTGCTTGAATGAAAATAATAATAATAAATAAAGAAGAGGGAAAGGATGCAAGACTTTAATATATATTCCACAACACCCTGGATGAAGCACTAAACCTTTTTGGATCTGATTCTACTAATTCCTTTCTCTAGTCTTCCCTCCAGGTTCTTGAGCTCCTTAAAAGTCAAAGTGCTAAGAGCCTCACCAAGGATATGCCTGGAAGAAACATCATTGATGAAACTTTTCCAGTAGAGAATGTATCAAGAAGGAAACTGAACAGGAAAAAGGACACAAAAATACCATGGACTATATCTTTGAGTGAGCTTGAAAACCAAATAATATATACAGCCAGATATTACCTGTTCATGTTCTGGACATCGCGAATTTGTCGCCGGAGTTTGGAGGCTTCTTGTTGGTAAAACTGAGGTGATTTATAAATAGAGATGGTATCAGGGTTAAGCAAGCATTAGAGTTAAAGCGATAATCCCCTTAGAAAAAGGGGTTTACTATACTTCTATAAGCATAAGCTTTTGGGATACCTGAGTAACTGTCAAGTGTTAGGACTCAAGAGGAACTACTCTTGTGAGAACACAGAAGCACAAGTTCAAAATGAATTCTACTTGGGAAGTACTTAATAGCTACTAGTGCAAGCCCTGAATATGGGGATCCCAATACATGTCTGATTAAAATGACTACAACACCAAAGTTTTAGCTTGACCAAACATGCAACAGGTGGGTTTAAAGCTAGACACTCAATTACAGAAATATGCTTTATACTAGTGCAAGATGCAGCATCAGCAAGCATTCTATGTTTTAAACGATAAATCTGTGATGACCACACAAGAAACATATTTTGAAGACACAATTGATGATAGGAAACACCCAATAGAATGAGTTGCAAAACCACGTTAGTAGTATTTTCAGGAAACAAGATGGAATCTGTTGATATTCATTCCTTGTTTGTCAGGAAGGCTTCCTTGAGCAGTGACTTAATTTCCCATCCAACCAGCTATAACTGCTCAACATGATTTCTGCATTTCTCTTCAAAAGTGGAAGGCAATTTACCAATTAAGATTTAGGCGCTCACTGGTGAAATTTTGTTCCAGTTCAAGGATTTGAACTGTGGGACTTTTGTAGCTATCTTCTTACTAATAAAATAGACTTTGTTTGAGCAAAAGAAAGAATTACCCCTTAAGATTCTGACCTTCCTTTCCCTTTCGTTTCTTTCCATGTTTAGACTTATAGGTGAGGATAGCATAATCAATTGTAGCATAATATCTGTTATCTATACAATAGCCAAAAAGACACTCAATAGCCTCAGGCAGTTATATATGATAAATTTTTGCCAGCCAAAAAAATGCAAACAGATTGATATATATATATATATATGTATGTATATAGAAACTGTAGCTGCGTATTGGCCAAGTATAATATTGGCTTCGTTTCATGGGAGGCATGGGATTTTCTCAAGATTTTCCCATTGCACAACAGCAATTCTTTTAAATCCATTTAAACCAGTACAATCATATGTGGTTAGAGGTGGAGTTAAGAAGTTTAGATAATTTTTTTTTATAATTTTCAAGTAATAAGATCAAAATTTTAAAATAATAAATATAAATATAGTTATATACACGTACATGCGCACACACATATAAACGTAGATATTGATATACTTAAAATTTAAAAAAATCTATTACTCCACTCAATTCATAAAGGCTCTACTATGGTCCCTCTTTGATTATTCACTATTTGTCTATTAAGTGAGAACATCAACTAATAATTAAATAAAACTCTTTATTTATTTTTCTATTTTATTCACATGTAAAACTTTTTATCTTTTATAAATAACAATTCAATGGATATCCATAAGCATTCACACACATTTTCATTTTTTTAAACATCTCCAGTTCTTTTGTTTTTATTTTTATTTGTGAGACGAAATTCAAAGAATATAGGGTGAAAATATCTTTTACTAAAGTATTATTGTAATTTTAAAGCTTTAGTTGGTCCATTTCCTCTTCTCAATAGTCATTACTTAGAAGCCAACTCCCTTATAATGTGGTTCCGGGTTGAGGGTTTGGAAGTAAATGAGAAAGATTCTGGTTCTTAAATCATGCAACTGAATGGCTTTCGGTTGTGAAATGCTCCAAGTCCCATACATAAAGAGACTGTTCATAACAAAGAAAATTTTCTATTAAGTATAACCTTGTATTGATCACCATATAGAAAGCCCACAGCAACATGCTTGTTTAAAGTATTAATTGAATTAACCTTCAATCGGTTTTCACAAGCTTATAACAAGAATTGTTTAAGGCCACCTTCTAACAAAAAAGTAGCTCTGAACATTATCATTTCAGCATTCAGGTACAACTCATGCTTGTAATATCCTTTTGCTCTTATTTCCTAATAGTAGTTGTGTAAGTTGATTTAACTTCACAGAGCAGTTCTTAGTTTATAAGCTATATAATGCAGAAATATTTTTGCAGAAAAGGGTCCTAAAGGAAGTGGTTATTCATAAGTTGTAAAATGGATGTTACAAGAAAGGATGAAATGAAAGCATCTTAAGATTTTCTGATGAAAAAAACTGAGCCATTAGTTTGTTCAATGAAAGACCATTTTTAATTTACTTCATTAGCTAAATTATATCGAACTTGCCTGAGTGTTAGCTTCAGCAACAGATCCTGGGTTTGATGCATCTGCAGATGCTTTCTTGTATCTGTCAATTGTTGTTCTGACACTGCAAAATTATCAACAGCACCTCAGGTTATATGAATGAGGTTCTATATGGTCTGATCACAAAAGCACCATCTCATTCATCATGCTTAAAAACCTTACTAGCACTTGATATTATTCATAGAAGTTACACATATGTAACAGAAGAAAGCTAGTCAAATATTCAAAAGGGTTCACTTTTCTAATCAGGTGGACTATATGAAGAATAAAGCATATTTCACTAAATGCTCGTGGGGAAAATATAACCTCATCAATCCATTAAAATTCAATAATACAGCAATAGATTCACTTGGAAATTAATTTAAATCTTATCTTAAAAAAAAAAAATCAAAACACTAGTTCCCGAACTTAGAATGCCATAGCTAAGAGCTTTAGAATCACTCAGTGGTAAAACGGAAAGCCGCAAAAAGCCTTTGAATGGTAACAAATGAGCCCTGGGAAGCTAAAGTTAACATAATCACTAACACTGAAGTAACCTATTTTTAGATAATGAATTATTCTTAGATAATCACCTTCAAAACAGTGACATAATAATATTGTTGTTTTCTATAAAACTTCAGCCTTTAGTGTTTACTATGCCAAAACGAATAGGAAAATATTGTCAAAAATTATGCATATATATGATGCTGATAAAACTATTAGAACTTTATTTGATTGATATTTTTATTATTTATTTTTTAAAAAATAAAATATAAAGAGTAAAAATATCAACAAAACGGAGTCTAAAAAATATGAATACAGTACTTTCCTATGAATAATGTAATAATGTAATACGTTTTTTTCGATAATGATCATGATTTGACAAGACCTAAATGAAAGCAATAGAATACGAAGAATTGGAAAGTGGAAACTACTAATAGTGGTTCCAATGAACATAACACCTGAGAATTAATACACACTGCTCATGCATTTCATGACTTACAAGTGGAACTTTGGAAGACTGGTTTCTTACACAAGAATAGTAAGATGGAATAAGAGTACCAACACAATGGACAAATCTGTGGTGGCTACTGATTATCCATCAGGCTTTCACGTCATGCCAAAAGGCCTAAGAATTTCACACTCTCTTTGAAAGAGACAACTGCAAGACCAATAGGCCAGATAATTTCGACACATCTCTATATCTTTGTTCTCTTATTGGCAATTCATACATTAGCCTGAGTTGTTGAATTCATTCTTCAGACAAGTGTGATTGATGAGGCCCTAACAGACCATTTTTTTGTTTTTGTTTTTGGGTATATAGACAAAACCATATACAAATGATGCAACATATTTTGTATTTTATTCAGTACAACATCTGAAAAAGCCAAAAACAGTCCGGGTCATATATAAGGGGGAATATTATATAATCATGAGGCTAAAGAAACTTGTAGAAAGAGAATAAGAAAGAAATAGTGTCAATTGAACGTGCATGTCCTTGAGATCAGGAGTTGTCTACACCAGAATATGCTTGTCCGTTCATTTTCTAATTTAAATATTGCTCTTTTCGGTGTACACAACCATCATCTTTGACTCACCTCAAGTTGATGCCATGCATTAAATTTTCGTAACAGTAAGTATTTGATGGTGCACCATTAGTTTATAAATCTACACCGTATGAGTGAATCACAACTCCTAATCTCATAAAAAAATTTTAAAATCCTTATTAATGAATGTAAACCTTAAAGTGATGAGTCGTAGTTAACTGACACTATATAGAATCATATAATAGCGGTGTATTAGACATAAAACTTTTCTTATAGCCTAAGATATCTTAATATCTTGCTATGAGACAGGTAATAGATGAGAATGACTTATTCATAATCATGTCTTACTAAAATGAAGTGAAACAAAAGTGCCAAGATTTAATCACTCAGCGCATTCAAAAACTACTATAAAAATTTCCAAAGAGAATTGTATCTCAAGACTCTTTAAGGAAATGAGTGGAAAAAGGGGACATCAGGGCAGAAAGAATTCGATACAAGTAGCACACAAATGAAAGGTCTGGTTCAAGTACAATAATGAGAAGTGATCCTAGTTGCAACCAAAGAGTAACCTGTAGAGAATGGCGTTTAAGGAATTGAAACAAAACACTCTTGTCCTTGCCAATTAATGGACAAGCCAGAACCAGAGAAGCAAGTTACTCCACCAACCTGTTCCTTAACAAATAATATGCAGTAATTGTGTCGTATCTATGTGGGCAATCTTAAGAAAACTTCTAGTCATTTATATATTTTTTCTAGATGCCGTTGGACAATGAAAAGTTCCCTTGCAGGAAGGACGCCTCTAACTGTCTAACATTCAACTAATGAAATCGGTTTCATGTACACTACAACGTGGAAGCCTCCTGTGTGTGTTAGTGATAGCAATTGGCCAACGCTGCGTATATATTTTTGCAGTGTCAAGGACACTTCTGCATAGGGGTGGTTATAACAGGGGCAAATTTGATGTTAGAAATCCTTGAAGATAGAGGGCACCAATTGTACAGCTTTTGGTGGATGAATCCTGGGGAGGGTCTCATGGTCTGAATGTAAGACTGATGTAGGAGTATATTATTTAGGTTACTTGCACTCAAAAGAAGTTTAACTTATGTTATTTTCTTATATATATATTTATTTAGAAATTGTAATAATCCCACGTAGGAAAAACAAGAAAGCTTTCTTTTTATGAATAGTTATATAAAGCCCTCTTGAGTTAATTGTTAGACACATTCAAGTTGAAAATTAATAAATAATATTTTCTTTAGTAAGTAGGAATGCTTATTTTGTCTAGGCTCTTTTTAAAAGAGTAAGAGATTTTTAATATCTTTTGTTTCACCAATCAAAGTAGGATTTTGGCCATTATTCACCTTAATGGCTAACCTTGCCAAGATTGGTATTCACCTTAGTGAGGTTTCTAACCTAACCACGAATGGTGTGTTTTACAACTTCTCGATGTCTTCACAACACACCGACATCAGTTTGGTATCAGAGTGATCATTATTCACTACGTAGTTCAGGTTCATCTCAGGTTTCAACTCTCTTTGTTCGGGTAATTCTATTTCTTTTATTGTTTTATAGTTCTATCATATTTTTTTTATTCTGCATCGTCACATTATCATCACCATATAACAAAATGTCGTCAAGACACTAAAATCGTCAAAGAAATGTTCATGAGATTGAGGTAGAGGAATTATGTTGCCAAATTTAAGAATTACAAGAGTAACTCGCAAGATGTGATGCTGCTCAAATTAATAATAATAGTTCTAGTAATAAAGATGGACTTATATATCAAGTGACAAGAGTTGGATTGGAGGACCAGTTGCTACACACTCTTGATTTAAGTGGTAGAGAAGTTAAGATTGGTTGATTTTCATAGGAAGTTACATGCAGAGGATTATTTGAATTGGGAAAAATTAAAACCATTTTATGATGAATATGATGAGGAGATAGAGGAAATTGATGCTTATCATGCACAAGGTAAGTCCTTGGTGGTACAAACACAAGTCAGTGAGCTATTAGAAAAAGGTCTAGTATGTGAAAGTAAAAGTTCTTGTACTTACCCAGCTTTGTTAAAGAAAGATAGCTTATGGACGATATGTGTGGACAACTGCGTCATAAACAAGATCATAGTCAAGAATTGTTTTCCTATTCCTCGATTGGATGGGGTGCTTGATCAACTAGTTGGTTCCAATATATTTTTAAAGATTGATTTAAGGAGCAGATATCATCAAAATTAGAATGAGTAGTGGACATGAATGAAAAACAACCTTCAAAACACCAAATGAATTATTTGAATGGTTGGTGATGTTATTTGCTTATCACATTCGGAAAATTCATGAAGAGGTAAAAATTACCTTAAAAGCCAGCAATGTAGCATATTCTTTTACTATCAATCAACATCATCGTAAACAAGAATTTGAGGTGATCAAGTACTTGTGCACTTGAGGCAAGAAAGATTTCTTAAGGGTACTTATCACAAGCTCAAATCTAGAAAGTTTGGACCTTGTAAGGTGCTAAATAAAATCAATTCAAATGCCTTCTTAATTGAATTGCCACCTAAGTGACAAATCAATCCTATTTTCAATGTTTTGGATTTGTATCCATTTGATGGATTTGATGGGACTGCATCTACTATAGACACTTAAGTTTAGCACCTTCAAATTGCTAAGGTTAAAGTTATTAAAGAAGTGTTAGATGTGAAAGATGTTTGATATAGACAAGAGAACCTATGCAAGCGATTTTATTTTTCTCCAATATAGGGAGAATGATACAAGACTATATTATTTAGGTTACTTGCGCATTAAGTTAAGTTAGACTAAATTGTCTTTTACTTTACTTGTACTCAAAGGAAGTTTAGGTTAGGTTGTTTCCTTATATATTTATTTATTTAGAATTGTAATAATTCCATATAAGAAAAATAAAAAAGTTTTCTTCTTAAGAATAGTTATGTAAAGCCCTCTTGGGTTAATTGTAAGAATATTTTCTTTAGTCAGCGAAAGTGCTTATTTTCTCTGACTCTTTTTAAAAAAGTAAGAGATTTAAGAGATTTTAGTATCTTTGGTTTGGCCAACTAAAGTGGAATGTTAGTTATTATTTAACTTAGTGGGGTTTTCTAACTTTGTCAAGATTAGTGTTCATCTTAGTGGGGTTTCTAACCTCGCCACGATTAGTGTGTTTTACAACATTCCAGTGTCTTCACAACACCTCAGCGTCAAGGACTCACCAAAGCATTCCTTCCTTTTTTGAATTAATGAAAGAGCTTAACTTTCAAAAAATAAGTTATACAGATATGAAGCAACAATAGAGAAGAAAGCAGACAATGCCTAAATATTCCTAATTTAATGGCAAATATCAAACAAAAACTTCAAATTGATCTCCCTTTTGTATGTTAAAAAGTGTAATAGTGTTCATTGAGCTGATGCCAAATAATTTTACTAACACTTTTTACTTTCATGTTATATTTTTCATTGTTTATGTCTTTAGATACACACAAGTAGACTTGACAATCCGTGTTTTCATGTCTTAAACGTATCAAACATGATTAGACATGAAATACTTTAAGGTTAAATATGAATACAACGCGAATAACATTTTTGTCTTAAATCTGAAACACGTACATGTATACGTTTAATAATTGTATAATAATATGACACGATTAACATGTTTGTCAAACGTGTCAATATATAACACGACATGATTAATAACATAATTAACACGATTAAATAAAAATATTTACAATTAAATATAATTTTATTATTTAAATTTAAAATCAATAATTATAAAAACAATTATAACAAAACAAAATAATAACAACATTAAATATAACAAAATAAAATTCAAAATTAGGGTTTGGGCATGGCATAATTACATTATTATCTTTATAAAATTTAAAAATCTTATTAAAATAATTGTTTAAAATTATTTAAGTAAAGCTAAAATAGCATTTAACTATTAAATTTTAACAAGTTGATAAATGTGTTACGTATACACGTTTAAACATGATAATATGATTAAACATGTTTACACATTTAAACATGATAACACAATTAATTAAACATGTTTAAACATATTTTAAATGTATTATTCGTGTCCGACACGTTAAGATACGAAAATTTTTGTGTTCTAAACGTGTCAAATACAAGTAGACATGAAACATGTTAAGACTAAATCTAAACTTGTTTAACTCCGTGTCTTTCCGTGTCATGTTAATGTGTTGTGTTTAAAATTACAAGATCTACACACAACAATCCTTGATTTTCCTAACCCAAATATTTAGATCAAAGCCATCAACTTTTGGGAAAACAAAACTATGTTCTGTTTGCATAATGTTGAGTTAGGATGAATAATATTGTTTACATTTGCCAATCTTACAAATAATATTGTTCAAGTTTGATCTTAATTATACCCTCCCTTTCAAATTAAATATCCACTTTTCACTTGACACAGAGATTAATAAAAATATTTTGACTTTAACTCATGTAAAAATTCATATCATTGATAAACTCATAGCTTTTAATATCGAAAAATAAAAATTAATATGAAAGGTAAAAGAAATAAGAGTTGTAAGTGTTTAAAAGGGAAAAATGAAATTTAGTAGTAGGATTATAATAGGAGTAAAAAATAATTTGGCTTAGATAATCCATAGTTCATCTTATGAAATTTACTAGTAGTTGAATTTCGATTAAAAAAAAATAAAGAAAAGAGAGGTAGGGAAAATACTGGGAAAGTTGATAGGCCAACCACTGCAGAAGAAACTATGGCAGCACGTTTCTCCATAGTAACTAGCTATTTCCTTAATTTTCTCGAGCTACTGATTGGTTGCCTCAGCCACTCTGGCACGAGATCCCCCAATATGATTGGCTGGAATTCTTTTTACTTTATGACGATGAAAAGCGTCACCAAGCCATTTCACAACATGTATTGACCAGAACAATCCTCTAGTGCCCAGATCAACCAATGCAAAAACCCAACATGCTATGAAATATCTTTGGGTTTTTTACTACTAGTTTCTAAAATATGGTTTCTTTTTTGCAAAATGAAATTGCATGAAAAGAATTTGTAACTTTGGGTGCCTGGGAATTCACTGACTGAGTTGAAATCAGAGAAAAAACCAGCTGCAGGCAGCAGCCTATGCTGCACGCTCGAAGACAGTGCAGAGAACCCCATTGGTTCGTACCCTTTTTCTCCCTTCCCCCGTCTCCCCATCACTTCAACTTTATCTCTCTCTCTTGTGATATTATATATATATATATATATATATATATATATATTCTCTTTTTCTTGTATATTTATACACAAGAAATGCCTGACTTCTGGTGATAGTCATAAATTTGTATGAATGAGTTTTGTTGAGATCATTTTTATATCTTTGTTTTAGAGTTTGTAGCATAGAAACGGTGAAGCACATAAAGCCATTAAACTCAACAACTTTGTTTCCCAAAAAATGAAAGCCTTGGTTTGTTTCCCCTTCATTTTTTTTTCTCTCTTTCCCTAATTAAATCAGAACAATAATAATAATAATAATAATAAATCATATGTACCCGAAAAAAAAACCACTATCAATCAATAAAATTCATTGGTCATGTAGTCTGATAGTTTTTATTACCAGAAAGAAATAGTTTAGATTTTGAGGCTTTCACTTTAGATTTTATGATCATGTTGACAATGCAGACCTTGTAAACCTGAAGCAGCATGTTACCGCATAAATGAAAACTCCTCTTTTTACAAAAAAAAAAAAAAGCAAGCGTGGAAATCAAGAGTTGAAGAAACTAGAGAAAGCGATCAAGGTATGTTTCACCGTTTGAGATTTGAAAAAGAATAAAAAAGAAAAGAAAAGAAGAGCAAGCAATGAGAAGATAAAAAAGAGAAACCAAATAAAAGGAATCATTGACACCAATATTCGTCAGTAGTGAAGAACTGAAAAATCTTATCTGACGTGACCAAAGATTCGTATATTGTATAACTAAGACAAACACAGCTAAGCTTAACGAAGGAAACCCTAGGCTTGTGCACCCAAAACGGTAAAGAAAAATAGAGTAAACCCAGGATTCCTTGTAATTTGTTCTAAGAAAATTTAATAGATACCCGTCTCAGTTTTAAAACCCTAATCTTCAAATTTTGCAGTTTCTACTACCATAAAGAAGCGAAGAAGATTGTTAGAGGAAGCGACTCAGGAACCCTTTAGTCTTTAGTCCATAAACTTCAGACAGAATATAAGTAAAGACTAGTTGAGAGAAATACCCGTTTGGGCAAAACCCTCACTTAAGATCTGATTGGGTGATTGATTTTGTCACACATCACAATAGACCCTTACCTTAACTTTGACAGACAGACAGACAGATAGCTGATTGAAGTAAGATTTGTGACGACAAGCGTAAGGAACACCAATGACTAATCTATTTAAGGGTTCATTTTACTTGTGTTTTGTTGAACTGACATGGGTTTTCAAAGAATCATCGAAAGAGATGGGAGATATGGGGAATGGGCTAATGAGAGCGTGACACAGTTTTTGTTTGTAGGCTGTAGCAGACTGGTTTCTTTTTTTTTTCCTTGTGAGCTGTGGTAGCTGACATGTGGAGAGAGAGAGAGAGGAAGTAAGAGAAAGAGGCTCTCCTTTCACCCATCTGCGTTTATCATTACAACCCTAGTTGTTGCTCTTAAACCTGCTACTGTTACGCCATTTCAGATCTGCATATCTATCAAACAAAGAGATGAGAAGAGAACTAGAGAAGGAAGGACACAAAAAAGAAAAGAAAAGAAAAGAAACAAACCCTAATTAAGGCTAACCAAGTACAACAACCAAACAGAAAATTAGAAGTCAGGAGGACTATGTAAATCTTTGTTAGAGGAACTCAATCTACTGACAGACACCCAAGAAAAGAAATTTCTCAACTGCAAAAAAATCTTATGTTTTACTGCAAAGGAAAAAGTCCTTAAAAAAGATGTCTTTAGTAGAAGCCTGCACACATATAACCATCAGCATACATAATAACTCCAATCATGAAAAACAATTTGTTGATGAACAAACGGAAGAAGAAAATAGAAGATACCAGTGTAATATTAGAAGAAGAAAGGCATTGAAGTAAATTAACCTGTTGTTAGCATATTCATAGAGACGGCCACGGCTGGAGAAGACTATGAGAGCAACCTCAGCATCACAAAGCACAGACAGTTCATAGGCCTTTTTGAGCAATCCATTGCGGCGCTTGCAGAAGGTGACTTGTCGATTAGTGGTGTTCTCGATCCGCTTAATCTCAATTTTACCTCTTCCCATTTTTTTCTGGGAAGAGCTTTCCGGTTCTTGATTAGGAAACTCCGTGGTTGAAGGCTGAAAAACAAGCAAACCCCAAAATTTGATAAACTTGAAACAAAGATAACTATCTTTTGAGCCTTTGATCAATTTGGACGACACCAAAAACAATCAAAACACAACCTATACTAATTGGTTACGTTAGATTTTGGTTTATGGGCTCTAACCTGGTAAGGAAACCAAGGAAATGAATTAGGAAGACAAAGGAGGAGAAGTTCCTGAATTCAACTCTTCTCCTTCTTTTGATGAAGATAGTTTAATTAGAGTAACAGTTTTGAGTTGCAAAAAAAGGAAGTGTGCTGCTTTAGCCGATGGACATTTATGGACAGAGAATTGACCCCTTAACAATCACCCAACGCAAGGTTTATTTTCTACTTTTATTATTATTATTATTATTATTTTTGTTTCCCTCTTAGTAGAGATCTCTAAAAGCAAGCTATATATATAACTTTCTTAGCTAAATTTCTATTGGAGGAGTAGAAAAAAGGAGAAATGGTAGGGATGCTAAAGAGGGATGCTTGATGTTCACTTTGAGATTCCATTAACCGTCCATTTCTTCTTCTATGGGAAAAGGAGAAGGGTATGATGAAAGGGCATTTTGGAAAGTGACCAGCAATGGCCTTGAATGAGACCTTGTGCGTAGTTGCTCTCAGAAAAAGCAATGCAATTCAATGTACTGGAGGGGAAAACCAATCAAAAACAAAATTAGATGGCCTCTCATGCTATAAGTTTCCTTGTGAAATCTTGGGGTTGGGCCCTTCATTCTAGTTTTGCTTCTGACCCCAACTCTATGGTTGAAAGTTTTTCACCATCCCTCCCTCCCTCCCTCTCTCTCTCTCTCTCTCTTACATTATTAGAATTTTTATTGTGTCTGCTAAGGGCTGTGAGCCACAGCTTGTGACGTAAGTGAGGGTGACTCCCATGTGAAGTTCTGCTCATCTTCTATTCTTGGGTTCATTTATGGTAAGAATAGAAGAGACCCTTTGATAATTTTGCTGCACTGTATTTCACCTGTTTGGTTTAAGGGATATGTGAAAGTGGGTTCCTCCACTCCCACGGCCCAAATTTCCAGTACCACTATTATTGATCATTGTTGTGTGCACCAAGCAGGCTGCTCAGCTAACTGATTCATTTTTATATCGTTTCTTTCCCAATATCAAGCAAAGCATTGAAGCTATTCATTTTCACTTGTTCTAGTATCTAGATTCTAGTGATGTAGTGCATGTGAAATGTTTGCATATATCAGTGCTTTTTCCTTTTTTTTTTTTGGCCATACCATAATCCGTTTTCTTCAATATACTGAAGTTAATGGTCTGGCATTGATATATCTTGACAGGTCAAAATTGATCAGATTTCAGACTTTCAGTTTTGCAGGGGATAGGTTAATGCCTTAGATTACAGGTTAACTCCAAAGCATGGTGCTTATTGATGGGGATGGCAACGAGTCATCATCATCCCTGAGTTTTGCATACTGCAAACGCAAATGTCATATTCTTTTTTCTGGAATATTTGGATTAAACTCACTACTCAATCGAAGAGTACATTAAGGTTTTTTTTCTTTTTTTGGTGAAAATTAATTTAAGGTTTTTTGTGGCAATGAATTAAAAGGAAAAACATTTGTTACTCGAATATTTGACTTATTGATTAATGTATGATCTCTCTACTTGAAGAATATAAGTTCGAATCTCTCTTTCTTAAGAAAAATGTTTGCATATAACTTTAATTAGAACTTGACAATATATTTCCCTCTGTTTGAGATATTAAGTGTAGTGAATAGTGGGATGAACTGAGTAAAAATATGAAAGTTGTTATGTAATAGTATTGTCAAATTTACCTAACACAGAGAGACCCAAATTTGTATATTTACTTGGAAACATATAGGTAGTAGCACAACTATTGCAATCCCATCAAGAGAAGGAGAGACAAGTTCACCAAAACTAATATTTGTGTGAATTTGTTAGCTAATTATATAAATTTCCACAACCTTTGAGTGAAATTAGACAATTATTACTTAAATGATATTATGGATGTACGTTTACCCAAGTTAGTTAACCAAAAAATAAAAGAAATGGAGACAAAGAGAGTACATATTAATTTATAAAATTACTGTAAGTTACACAGCTACTCAGTGCTAGGATTTATAAGTTCTATACTAATTTATAAATTGACTTGCAAAGGTGATCATGTTTGATGCTCTATTTTTTTTCTTGAAAATTAAGATAAAAATTTTTGACTTTAATTAGTGTTATATTAAAAATTTACTCTCTCCATTTCATTGTCTTTAACCAATTTTTTTATTGTTACAAAATTATGTCCATTTCTTTTTAAAACATAAACCTTAATACTTTCACTTTTCTTATATTCTAAAGTTAACGAAAATTTTATAAATGAAATTTAAATTCTTAATGTTATAAAATATACTATTTTTTCTTAATCTCCGTGAAAATCAATACATTTTGAAAAGATGAATTATATTAGGTTTTTTAAATAAAAAGTTATATAAAATAATAATAATAATAACATTTTCTTATGACTTTTCATACATCAAACTTATAATTAGAAAGGTAAAACTTACCCTTTTAAATTAATAGACTAATTAAATGATAACAAACTAATATAATAAAACATTAACTTTGTTTCATTTTATTATCTATGATAAGAATGTATAAAGGTAAAACTTATCCTTTTCCGTTTATAGTATGAATTTTTCTTATTATTTTTTTCAAATCAAATTTGATAATTTTTTAATCTAAATAAAAGGTCCATATAAACAACCTATATCATTCTTAATTCCATTGGATTCACTTGTTTACTCATTAATCTAATGGCTTTAATGCCTCACTTCCAGAAGGTGGTACAGCAACACTACATTGACATATAAGAGGGGATAGCGGAGGAAGGCACAAGGGCTGTGATAACTAGGAAGAGAAGGTAACTTTGGCCTTTGTGCGGAGAAGAGGAAAGGAAATGACGTTAAAAATCAAGAGTCAAAAGGTTCATCGAGAGAGATAAGATCATCAAATTTTTTCATATAAAATCGTCAACAAGAAGAAGAGCTAATTTCATAGGAAAAAATCAAAATCCAAAGGAGTGTGGTCGGCAAACGAAAGGTTATCAAGGATAGGTGGAAGGATGCAGAGCAAGAACTTTTCTCTAAGATAGAATGCCGACCAGACAGCTTCAAGGAGGGCATGTGGTAGCAGGATGCAGGGGTGCTTAATTCGACGAGGGGCATGCTTGAGCAATTCGGGGTATACATTGAGCTCTCTACACTTTGGGGAACCATCATGTCGGAGCTGTTTCAACATTTGTTGAAAGTCAAAGATAGAGAAATAAGAGATAAAAATTTTACAAACCAATATGTTAATCTTAATCAACAAACAAAATATTGATAATAGAAAATAATTTAATATAACATATAAATTAAAAAAATAAAAAAACTTGCAATAGTCTTTTTAAAAAATTATGCTTGATTATGTTTCTTAAATTCACATTCATCAATTATTTTTTTTACTTAGTCAAATTCATCAATTATTAATTATATATTAAAAACCATCTATTTCTTTAGGATTGAATATTGTATGTTTTGATTCACATTACTCTTATCCATGAGTTGAAGCATTGAGATTTGTAGGCTCAAGTATAGGAGAATCATTTGGACTATTTGTTTCTTTTCTTTTAAAAAATGTCAATTCTTTTCAACTTAATTATACTTTAATTAAACCTAACAAAAAATTAATACAGTTAAATCTAATTTTCTTATTTTATTTCTATTTAAACTTATAATACTAAATATAATTTTTTTACTCAATTAATCAAAAGATTTCCATTAATATGGTATAAGCTACAAGAGTGTAAGCCTAATGGTCCTGGTAAGCAACAGTACAGAAGATATCCTGTTGTGGCAAAAAATCATAAGACAAAGTCTCCAAAGAGAACAGAGCGAAGACAATGCACAAGCAGATTAAAAGCCAAAAGCCAAAGAGACATATAACAAATCACAGGCACATAACAGAACACAAGTCCCAAAGAAAACAAAGCAATAGCAAGTTTTAAATCCAGCAACAAAGCACATAACAGCTCAGATCACAGCCTATCCAACAGATTGCACCAGGTAACACGCAAAAACTCAAGAAAGTAACAAGGCAGGGGCGAAGGGCGGGGGTGGCAGTCGCCACTCCTCATATTTTAAATTTTTTTATTTCTATATATATAAAATTAAAAATATTTAGATTTGCCAACCCTACACAAATCAAATGTGCTGTTTTGAAGCAGTGGTAAGAAATTAAGTTAATTTTTAGTGGTCTGGGTTTAATTCCTTTTAGATCCAAATTTTAGAATTATTTTTCTTTTCTTTTTTTCTCTCCTTTATAAATATACTAAACCTCTTTTTTTCAACTTTTTTCCTTTGAAAGCATGAAATCATGACGAAGACAGCTTATTTTCCACGTCGAACACAATTTATAATACTTAATATGAAAAACTAATATTATTTTTACTTTATGCTTTATGTCTATTTATATTGGTGAATCTGAAAAACTTATAAATTTAAATTGTTAATAAAATTTTATGTTATAATTTAGTCAAACACAATTTACTATGCCTAATGTGAAAATCTAATGTTAATTTTTCTTTCTACTTTACGTTTATTATGATACTTAATGTGAAAATCTATTGTTAATTTTCTTTCTATTTTATGTCCATTTATATTGATGAATCTGAAAACTTACATAAATTTAAATTGTTAATGAAATGTTATGTTATAATTTAATTTTATATCAAAAGTAATTAAATTTTTTTTTCAGAATTGAATCATTGGCTCGATCCATAACCCAATCCATGATTTTGTATAATTACTGTTTAGTCACCCCTCATACAAAATCTTAGATCTGCCATTATAACAAAGGCGTAATGAGATGTGTTTACATGATACAAAAGTCACCACCAAGCAGAAAATGAAGAGGATTTGTCAACACCATACCTAGCCAAGGAGTCAGCAAAGCGATTACCTTCTCCAAATACATGAGAAAAGGACACAATAGTTTTAGAGAAAGGCATAGAGAATGCAACTCATTAAAAATGTCATTTGTTGCAAGGGCGTTGCTCAAGGGATCTAAATATAAAATTTTAATACATAAAATATAAATAATTAAATACAATATATAAAATTAACAATTTCCTTTTATATAATCAAGATTGTTTAAGGACTATATATTCAAGATAATTTTTTTTCAAATAAATATAAAACATAAAGTACAATAGAAAAATACTCAATATAATTTTCCCTTACATAATCAAGATTAATAAAAAATATACTCAATGTAATTTTTTTAATAAAAAAGTGATATATTAATGAAGTTTAAACTACAGTGCACCACTACAACTTATATTAGAAAATTACATAATAATTTATTA